CCTCTCTATTAATAACTATATATAGCCGGGTATATGTGCACATCACATTCATACCTGTTTGTACATTGGATGTATGCACTATTATTAATATTTTCTTATATAAAGCTTGTTTTATTTCCATACTGGTGTGCACCTATATGCTTATGGTTAATGTTATGCTGGCTGCAGTAGTTCCTCTGCTCCTAATTACTTTGAATAGATTCTTGGTTAATCTCCCAGGAAGGGAATCCCTTCTGTTCACATAGGCCCTATCCTGGGCACTGTCAACTTTATTATCAAACTATTCCACTTCGAGAAGATTGTGGTTCTCTTATTTACCTACAGGTTAAGTGCAATAACCTGTTTGGGGAGGGCCATGTCCCACAACCCCCCAAAAGAGGGCTACACTAGCTATTCATATTGCCTGTTTATTAAAGGGTTCAAATATTCAATTAAGCTGCCAAATAGAGTTAATTAACATAAAAAAAGAAAATGATCACAGCATATTCAGTTACTGACAGAGAAAATTGGTCATCTCTTACTAAGTGCCTAGCTTAAATGTAGCAAATACAGTCTATTGCACAATACATTACAAATACCACTGTGCCAGTAAACTTAGCTGCCCTTTATGAATGTAGGAATCTTGCAATTTATATTGTTGATAATAGGCTATTTCACAATCCACAAAATAGTGTGCTGACTGTACCTCCTGCAGTTGTATATGTTTAAAATCCAACCTAAACCGGACCATGATGGAAGAATAAATAGCTGTCTGAGGTTGCAATGTAGAAGAGCATAGGAGAAAACATAAGCACAATTATTTATACTGAAACTATTTTATGCTTGCAGCATTGTGGTAATCCTGGGGCAGCTCTGGGAAAACAAGGTTAATAGCAGTTTTTACAAAAGTCAAAATCCCTGTTATAAACATATATGTACATACATGGGAGAACAATATTTAAAGGGACGCCACAAAATGTAATATGCCACAAATAAGTACAGTGTTATTCATTAGGGAAATACGATAGCACAAAAGTCAGGTAAGTAAAATACGGTCTAGGGTTGTTTGATATACTGTAGGTGAGTTCTCCAAATGAGCTTGTACAGTCCTACCCCAAAGGGTTCTCTTCTTCAGGCTTACATGTTAGTATACCAGCATGCCCTATTCCCATCACCCTTTAGATTATATAAGGCATACTAGCTCCACCCTCTATACCCTCCCAGGGGAGGGAAGTCACTAAAAGGGGTACTAAACCCTACATACAGGCCCACTGTGAGATTTTTTCTAGCCTGTAGCTAGGTTCAGTGGCGTATCCTCAGACTGAGGATTTAGATCAGTTTGTCTCTGCATTTGGTAGGGAGCTTGATGTAAGGGGGGTCCTGATATATAAGGGGTGCTGAAGTGATGTGATGGAGGGGCATGTGGTATGAAGTTATTTTTTAGAGAGTGTTTATTCATTCATTTAAACTTTATTACAAAGGAAACAGAGCAGGGCGCCACATTAGTGTATGGTTAACAACAACACTTCAATTCCATATCTCGCTTATGTCTGAAAGACCTGTAGGCTGCTCCGGGTGTCAGAGTGCTGGTGCTATATATAGCTCACCACAATCTGGATGGACAAATAGGGCGGCAGGGCACAAGCAGGGACCCGGGGGCAAGATAGTAAAGCAGCGGCGTCTCTCCTCTCACTCACAGCACTAACAGGCAGACAGGAGAATGTGACTGAGGTCCTGCCTCCTTTATCAAGCTGGCCTTTCTGGGGAAAAGATGGGATTTAAGAGCTGTCAGAGCGTCTGGCTAGAGCCAATCAGATACCATATCACATGATCAGCTGTGTCCGTAGGACACAGCGATCACCGGTGGAGCCAGGTGCACAGGGGGCGTGTTCTGGAATGATGTCCATGGACGTCGTCCCAGAATCAGAGAACCGCGCTGTAGCTGTCCTTCGGCTATAGCACGGTAGGGAACTGGTTAAACCTTCTACAGGGAATTACTACCTGTATTTCAAAAGCTGTCACCACCCCAAATGGATACAGAACATTCCCAGGGGGCAGTTCTGCAGGTTGAGAAAGAACTGCACCCTGGATGACGACTACACCCAACAAGGACAGATACTGAGGGACAGATTCCAGGACAAGGGATATGATCCAAAACTGGTCACCAAAGCATTCCAAGAATGTCAGTCCTTTGCCCCCAGAGATGGTCACACAACACACTGTGACTAACACTGAGGTCAAGTTTATCACCCAATGCCACTCCAGACATAAACAGATGGAAACATTTTCAAAAAGACATTCAGAAGATAGACCCAGGAAAATATATAGGAGGGCAAGAAATGTCAAAAATATAGTAGCTCCCAGTAAAATTAATCATTCATTTCCCAACTCTTCTCACCTCCTTGCCACATTTTGTAAATTAACTGGTATGTTTCAATGTAAGAAAATTAGGTGTAAAATGTGCCAAATTTGTGTAACATTGCCAAAAGAAATTCCATGACTCCTCTGGTATGAGCTATTCCATAAACAGGTTTTACACTTGTTCCACTGAGCATGTGGTCTATTGCCTGTCCTGCTCCTGTGGCCTTCTCTACATGAGCAGCACGGTGTGTACTGTGAGAGCTCATTTTGGAGAGCACAGGAGGTTCATTGAGAATGGCAGGGATGACCATAGTGTTCCTGGATACTTCCTCAGTCATCATGACGAACAGAAGGTCTAAGAGTCTGGGTAGTGGAGTCTATTCCAACTTGTGAAACCCCTGCAGAAAGGTTCCAGAAGCTTTGCAATAGGGAGATTTTTTGGATATTTACCCTGAACACCTTGGCACCCAGAGTTTTAAATGAAGAATTGGAGATTAAAACTATCATATAATATCCTTAGGGTATTTTTAGCTTTTGTATTTTTTTTATATACAATCGTTTCCCCTTTTTTACAATGTAATTTTGTTTTTATGATGTGCGTATTTTTTACATGTGCATTATATTGATATAAACTGTATGTTTTTAAGAATTTCTTGCTTTTTTATGTGTAGATATATATTCATCTGAGGGTTCATACACCAATTTATTTACCACCTTAATTTTATTATTGTTTTTAATATCCTATATTTTACATGTACAGTAGATTTGTTTACAAAATGTGAATTGTTTACACACTGTTATTTTAGATTATTAGCATTGTATTCTCACTTTTTACTACAATTTACCTCCTGTGTAAGGATGGATCCGTTCCAGTGGCTGCATGGCTACTTATTCAATCTTACCTGGCTCTTTCCCCAGAGCCACACTTAACACTGATATTCACCACCCCTAACATTGATATTCTACACTCATGTGTTTTTCCATTGCTGTCAGCAGTCCCCGGCTGGCTCTGCCCACTCCCGTCTGATTGGCTCTAGCCGGCCGCTCTGACAGCTCTTAAATCCTATCTTTTCCCCAGATGGGCCAGCTTGATAAAGGAGGCAGGACCTCAGAAACATAATGCGGTCTGCTCTATTTCTTTTGTATGCTCGCGAGGGATTACCCAGATCCACTGGCTAGGAGCTGCTGGACAGTGTGTTTCTCTCATCCACCTTTCCAGCCATCCATCCATCCACCTGCTTTGTGAACTTGTGCAACTTTGACTAAAGTTGCACAATGCCCTTGCTATAGGTGTAGGCCAGTTACCTACAGTACTATGCAAACGTTTTAGTCAGGTGTGAAAAAATTCTGTAAAGAAAGAATGCTTTAAAAATTTATACAATTTTAATTGATTTTTTTAATCAGTTTAGAAAATGCAAAGTGAGCAAACAGAAGAGAAATCTAAATCAAAGCAATAATTGGTGTGACTTCCCTTTAGCTTCGAACCAGCATCAGTTCTTACACTTGCACAAAGTCAGGGAATATAATCAGGTGTATGATTAACCAATTATACCAAGGAGCTGCAGGACTGGGCACAGCAACAAGACACAATGTAGTTATATTGGATCAGCAAGGTCTTTCCCAGGCAAGGATTTCAAAGCAGAGTGTGGTTTCAAGATGTGCTGTTCAAGTTCTTTTGAAGAAGCACAAAGAAATGGGCAACATTGAGGACTACTATAGACACAGTGGTCGGCCAAGGAACCTTAATGCAACATATGAAAGACACATCAAGCGTACTTCCCTTTGACATCAGAAGATGTCTAGCAGTGCCATCAGCACATAACTAATGGAATCCAGTGGGATCCAGGTACACCCATCAACTCCATCCAGAGAAGTTTGGCCAGAAGTGGTCTTTATGGAAGAATTGGGATCCAGGTACACTCATCTACTGTCCAGAGAAGTCTGACCAGAAGTGGTCTCTATAGAAGACTTGCAGTCAAAAAGCCATATCTTCAACATGGAAGCAAGGTTATGCAGAAAAACACAGGAATTGGGGTGCAGAAAATTGGCCGCAGGTGCTCTGGACTGATGAGTCAAAAAATGAAATATCTGTCTGTAGCAGGAGGCAGTTTGTTCAAAGGGCCAGAGAGCGTACAATAAGCAGTGTCTGCAGACAACAGTGAAGCTGCATTTCTGCAAATTGACTTGGAGATTTGGTCAGGATCAATGATGTTCTCACTGATGAGAAATACAGGAAGATACTTATCCATCAGGAAGGTATGTGATTGGTTCCAAATTTATTCTGCAGCAGAACAACCACAAACATACAGCCAATGTCATTAACCACTTGCCTACAGGGCACTTATACCCCCTTCCTGCCCAGGCCAATTTCCAGCGCTCTTGCACTTTGAATGACAATTGCGTGGTCATGCAACACTGTATCCAAATGAAATTTTTATCATTTTTTTGTGACAGATAAAGCTTTATTTTGGTGGTATTTAATCACCTCTGGGTTTTTTATTTTTTCCTAAACAAACCAAAAACCACTGAAAGTTTTGAAAAAAAAAAAAAGTTTTTTCTTAGTTTTTGTTATAAAATTTTGTAAATAAGTGACTTTTCTCCTTCACTGATGTGCGCTAATGAGGCTGCAGTGAGGGGCACTGATAGGCTGCACTGATGGACACTGATGAGGCACTGGTAGGTGGCACTGATGGGCAATGACAGGCATCACTGATGGGCACTGAAAGCAGCACTCATATTTGGCACTGATAGGTGGCACTGACTGGCACTAATAGGCAGCACTGACTGGCACTGTTAGGCGGCACTGATAGGCGGCACTGACTGGCACTGATAGGTGGCACTGACTGGCACTGACTGGCGACACTGAAAGGCAGCTCAGATGGGCACTGATATGTGGCATTGATGGGCACTGAAATGTGGCACTGATGGGCACTGGCAGGTGGCATGGATGAGCACAGAGCTGGCACTGATGGACACTGACAGGTGGCACTGCTGGGGCTACACAGATCATCAGGGCACACTGATCATCAGTGCTCTGATGATCTGTATAGATGTCCCCTCTGAGGAATGCTGATTACCGTCTCTCCTCTCGAGCTGTCAGTGTAACAGCTCGTGAGGAGAGAAATGCCGATAACCAGCATTTACCTGTTTACATGTGATCAGCTGTGATTGGACACAGCTGATCACATGACTGAGCCGACATCTTTGGCTCTTTCCGTAGATCAGTGATCCGCTGTGTCTGAGGGACACAGCGCACTGCCGATCGCTGAGCTGAGCGCTGAGAATGGGAGGACGTCATAAGACGTCCTCCCAGAACGAGAGAAACGTCTTGCGTCCGTCATATTACTATATGGCGGGCGGGAGGCGGTTAAGAACTATCTTCAATGTAAGGAAGAGCAAGGAGCACTGGAAGTGAAGGTTTGGCTCTCAACAGAGCCCTGATCTCAATATTATAGAGTCTGTCTGGGATTACACGAAGAAATAAAAGGATTTGAGGCAGCCTACATCCACAGAAGATCTGTGGTTAGTTCTGTAAGATGTTTGGAACAACCTACCTGTCGAGTTCCTTCAAAAACTGTGTGCAATTCTTCAATATAAGCGACTAGGGGCTAAACTTATTTTACTACAGGAAACACATTTTGCATCCTCAAAACACCCGACATATTTTCATAAATCCTATAAGCAGGGGTATTATACCTTACATTCCTCTAAAAGTAGAGGAGTAGCCATTTTTCTAGATAATTCATTCCACTTTGAGGTTCAACGTGTGTATCGTGATCCGGACAGTAGTGGCAGCAAATTCTACAGCTTACCTAAGAATTAGAAGCACATTATGGAAGCCACATTGGTAATCCATCACTTCTTAATAAACAATTATTGTCTCAAAAGCGTTTAGAATTGAATACTCTGCTTTCTCAAAAGACTGAAAAAGCTCTCGCTGGTCGAAGGCCTCGTTCTTGCTGCATAGCAACTCAGCATCCACTATGTTTGCAAGGAAATTGAATAACTCTCTACGCCCCCACATATTTATAAGCTACACACTAACTCGGGCGCTATTTCATCTCTACCTCAAGAAGTTCTGGGTATTTTTTGAACACTTTTATTCTAACCTACTAGCTCCTCCACAGTTGAATTCTGTTCCACCATCTGACTCATGGCTGGATTCTATACCCCTCCCTGCTCTCACACCCCTCTCAAATAGACTCTCTTAATGCCCCCTGTACTTTGGAGGAAATAACCCGTGCGATTAGTGCGCTAAAAAGTTCTACTGCACCGGGTCCTGACGGATTCACCACTAGTTATTATAAACATTTTGCCTTTACGTTGGCTCCCTATTTGATAATTTTAATAAATGATGTTCTGCAGGGGGGTAAATTCCCTGAGGAGATGCTATTGGCTAATATGTCTTTAAACCCAAACCACAAAAAGACCACCATTTACCACAAAACTATAGACCAATTTCAGTAATGAATAACGATCTGAAAATATTTAGCTGTATTTTGGCAGACAGGTTGGCCCCTATTATCTCCTCTTTGGTCTCTCCAGACCAATCGGGTTTTATTCCAGACAGATTTATTACTGATAACATTCGCCTCACCCTAAATGTTATTCAAGATGCCAATTTGCATTCTAAAGAGGTTCTGTTGATGAGTCTGGACATAAACAAGGCTTTTGACAGTGTTCTTTGGCCCTATTTATTTTCCTTGCTACAGAAGATGGGCTTCAGTGACGGGTTTTTTGGCTAGTATACACGCCCTATAAAACTCTCCTAAAAAGAGAATAAGGCTTCCTGGCTGTAACTCTGATTTTTTTACATTGGGTAGAGGTACCCATCAAGGCTGTCCTCTTTCACCCCTTTTATTTGCGCTGGTGTTGGAACCTTTGGCAATAGCAATTAGATCACATCCGGATATTTCTGGCTACTTATTATTAGTTTCACATTTCAAAATATGTATGTATGCTGATGATGTAATGCTTTTCCTTACCAATCCGTAACTTCATTGCCTAATTTATGTGCCGTATTGAACAATTTTGCTATAGTGTCAGGTCTTACTGTCAATTTTACCAAATCGGTGATTATGCCTGTTAATGTTCCTGATTCCCTAAGTGCATCTCTCTGTAGTTCGTTTCCATTTCGTTGGGTCACAGATCGGATTTCCTATTTGGGTATTAATCTCACTCCTAGATACTCAGATATGTTTGCTGCTAATTATCCACCAGGTGTATCACGTCTCTCTACTCTATTGAAGATTTGGCATGGTTACCCTATTTCCTTTCTGGGTAGAGTCACGGCAGTTAAAATGAATATTTTGCCTAAACTACTTTATCTTTTTAGAGCACTTCCAGTTCCGGTCTCAAAAACGTTTTTGGATCACCTTCAGCGGACTATTAATACCTTTATCTGGGGTAATAAACGTCCACGTTTTACTTCGTCTGTTTTGTACCGCTCGCAACGGACAGGAGGTCTTGGTCTTCCCAATTTTGGCTATATTATATCTCAGCTGGTTTTGCACAACTATCACAATGGGCAACATTTAACTCTCAGACCCCCTGGATCAAGTTTGAATCTCAATCCATACGCCCATTTTACTTACCGGGTATATTGTGGTCTAAAATCTCCCCTCGATCGCTCACTTTTTTCATAACTCCATAGTGACCCATTCACTTACACTTTGGTCCAAATACAAATTTAAATTGCATCTGATCTCTTCTATTCCCCCAGGTGTTTAGTTTTTTGGTTATCCTACTTTTGTTGCAGCTTTTTCTTCCCCTCAAGCATTTCGTTGGTGGTATGATCGATCTTTTATTAGATTATCTGATTTTCAGAGAGGAGGATCTTATATTACTTTTGATATGCTGCGTGTGTTTTTTGATGTTGCTCTTCGTGAGTACCATCGTTACCGACAGATTAGACATTTTTTTAATTCACATTTTGGCCTTATACCCTCTGCTCCGATTTCATTTTTCGAACGTGTCAGCCGTGACTCTCCTAGGGGTAGGGGTCTTATTTCTGATCTTTATCACCAATTTTTGATCTGTTTTTCTCCTACGCCCCCTTTGTATAGACGAAGATGGGAGGAGGATGGTGGTATCATTTTTTCAGATGAGGATTGGGATTCCATGGTGGATAACCTATGTAAGTGTACTAGATCTCTTTCTGTCCGTGAAACAGCCCTTAAGGTTTTAACCAGATGGTATTATACCCCATCAAGACTACATCTATTGTTCCCTCAGGTATCCCCTTTATGTTTTCGGGGCTGTGGTCTCACAGGTACTTTGGTTCATATATTCTGGGATTGCCCGACCATATCTTTGATTTGGCGTAAGATATCTGAGGTCACTGCCTCACTGGCAGGTACCCCGGTACGATTGTCTATACAGACCTGTTTATTGGGGGCTCATATCCTGGGGGTCTCTGATGCCACTATGAGACTGATACATACTATTTGTATTGCCACTTTATGGGCTATTGCCTTACATTGGAATTCCAATGCTGTACCCTTGGCCTCTGTTTTACACAGGGTTGATGCTGTGATGCTCATGGAACAAATTCATTATACCTTACTGGATGGGATGCACTTATTTGATAAAAAATGGGAATCATGGAGGGATTGTAGACATTTATTGCATGATTAACAACATTCCAAGTGAATGTTGACTGGCATATACTGTTGACAGGTGTATCATTCAGCCTACTTTATTGTCTACATATTTCATGTACTTGCAATCTATTCTTTTCTATTTCCTCTCTTTCTTATGTTAATATACTTTTCTGTATTGTATTTTTCAAAAGTGCCTTGTTTTTGCTGTAAGTATCATTTGAAAATGTACTGTTGTTTTACAGTCTACTTTTGCAAAATAAAACCGTTTGTAAACATAAAAAAAACTGTGTGCAAGTGTACATAGAAGAAATTATGCTGTTCTGAAGGCAAAGGGTAGTCACACCAAATATTGATTTGGTTTGGATTTCTCTTCTGTTCATTTACTTTTCATTTTGTTAATTGTTAAAAACAAACTAATAGCATTTCTATTTCTGAAAGCATTCTTAATTTACAGCATTTTTTTTACACATTCCTATTTTTGCAAAAAGCATTCTTAGTTTACAGCATTTTTTTTACACATTCCTATTTTTGCACGGTATTACACCTTGCATCATCCTGTCCTGCCTTGTTGCTAGGACATTGCTAAGACACTCCCAGCCGATACTGCTCACACACACTATAGCAACTTCCTAGCAACAAAGCACTACACTACACTTGGCGTACACTTTTAGCAATGGCATTATTAACCTTTGGTAGAAGTTTGCTTTTATCTACAGGCACCACCTACTTGCATAGACAGTTTTTTGTAAAGATGAACTAACCTTTTAAGACACATTTTCCTTACAGTATATCTTTATTTTAGAAGTTTATAGTTTATCTTCCATTCTACGAATAGAAATAGACCCTTGCATCAGATTCCTACTGATATACAGGTTCTGTCACCTACAAGATGATGGCTATGAATGTCAAAAATCTGCTTTTCATATTATTTTATTAAACAAAACTCCAGTTACAGTAAGAATGAGCCAGGAAAATGTACGTGATATTATGAATGGTATAATGTTATGGTATACATGATCTTGTGTTGTAGCACTGTCAACACAATGAAGATTACAGTTTATAAACCAACTCCCTGCAGGAGAGGTTTTGGTTTAAATTGTTGGTAGAGAGGGCTTCTTGTTTCATGGAATTGGATTTCTTTGGATTGTTTGTTGTCCAAAAGGAAGACATTGCTTGCACCAGACTTTTAGGCTACATCTTGAAATATATGTTTTTCTTCAATTGTATGTTTCTTTCAAATGTGGCAGTAAAAAAGCAAAAGGCAGGCAGGGCAATATGGCCTGCTTTTTATCTATCCATATATTTATTGCTTAATTTTGTGTTTTGTCTTGGGTTCGCCTTTATATAAAACTCAGATTATTATTAAAAGATTGCTAACAGCTATTTGTAAGAATAATGTAGTCACAATGTGCTTTCATTGCGGTAACATTTTTATTTTCACAAACCTTTGTACATTTGTTTAACAGATACTATCAATAATAGTAACCTTCTTGCCTGTTCTCTATATAAGCAGCTTTGCTTCTCCAAAATATCTGCTACATTGGTGGCCGAACCACATAAATATTGCTACGATCTACTTGTAAGTTTAGCAAATTTGGCAGTTACAAAGACATTTTATACACAGTACTTTAAAGCAGTTTGTCCGTATTTCCT